CATTATTTATATATCTTATATAATACATATTATGTATTTTATAAAATATATAATGCTGAGTCAGGCTGTGCTGGGCTTTTTTGACAAATCCCGAGCCCAGCCCGATACATAGTTGGGCTTACTGTGTTAGGCCCGAGATCAGCCCCACGAGCCTAATTACATGACCAAGCCCGACCGAGGTGCGGGCCGAGCTGAGCCGGGCCATCGGGCTACTCGGCCCATGAACAATGCGATGCACGGGAAAATCTAAAAGATTTAAAAATTGTAATTTTCATTTAATGTTGATTTATAAAAAATAATTATTATTAATTGAATATGAACAAATATTTTTAATAAGTTTAGTTTTATTAATAATTTGTAGTAATTTTAATAAATTTTATTCTTTAAATGAAATTTTGATTAATTTTAAATAAATAAAAAAATTACAAAAGATAACATTTTTATTTATTCCAGTAATAATTAACAATTATATAGGAATGACAACGGGGTGGGTTCAGGGTAGGGCACCTCATCCCTTTCCCTGCCCCATAGTCAAGACTAGGGGTGTCCACGGTTTGGTTAACCGAACCATGGCCCCTTTTTGTAAACCGAACCGGTGGCACTGGTTTTTCATTTTGCCAAATCGAAGCTGAACCAGTACCACCGATTAACCGGTCCGCCGGTTTCGGTTTTTGACTGGTTCGGTTCTTCGGTTCTTTGGCTTTTCGATTTTTTATATTTATAATATATATTATATTAATATATGTATAATATTATATTATAAATAATAAATGATATATAATATATTATAAATATTTTAAAAATATATAATATATTTGTAAATAGATCATTATAACTATAATATAAGTATATATTTATATATAATGAATATATACTTATATAAAATACATAGAAAATATGTGACGTATATTAAAAATATAAATAAAATATACCTATAAATATATATACCGGTCGGTTCGATTAACCGTCGGTTTTTTTATAGGTTAACCGAAAACCGAACCGGTCCTTCGGTTTTTCAAAAATTCTGAACCGACTGGTTCGGTTAACCACATTTTGCAGTTCGGTTTTCTCAGTTCGATTCGGTTTTTCATGGACATCCCTAGTCAAGACACTCTACCCCATCCCCGCCCCATCCCCAGTGTCACGCGGGTTTAGGGCAAGGTAATCACTCCTCAATGTCGGGTGAGTTTAGGGGCAAGGCACCACTCCTCATCAAGGATGGAGAATCCTCGAATTTCCCTACCCCGTCCCCAGTATTGGGCGAGTTCAAATAGAGGTGTCAATTGGGTCGTGGTAGGTAAAGTCGGTCGGCACGACATGACCCACATGTGGCCCGCACAAAGTGTGAGTTGTGTCGTGTTGGTCCATGAGGCATCCCGAGCCGTGCCTCCCTCCTTTAGGATAATTTGGGGGGTCGGTTTGGCACGGCCCACAGCCCAAGTTCACATGGGCATGTGTCGTGCCATGGGTCGGGCTAGTCCATGGGTCGGGCCTTGGGCCAGGCCATGCCGAACACCAAGCCAAGCTCAAAGAAAGGCACACACTCCCCGTCCAAGGTTTTTAAAATTGGACTAGATAGGGAACCATTATGGGGTCGAACGACCCAATTGTTCGATCCGAATAGATGACCCACTCCTGCTCTGATAAAAAAATAAAAAATTACAAAAACAAAAAAGGCCAAAAACTATTGTCTGGGTTGACAGTTCGACAACCTAGGACTGCGGTTTGCTAACCAAATAAATAGTTTTTGGACTACAAGCGATTTTGAGGTGAAACGGTGTTTGGTTCCCAATTTTTCCAGTCTAACCATCTGGTTTGATTCGGTTTTGAAAACAATGCCCTCGTCAACCCAATATTCAATTTGATGATAGAAATGATTAAAATGATATATTGAGTATCAACCACATGGTAAATTTATAAAAGAACACTAAATTGTCTTTAATATTCAAAAATGTAATTTTTGAAAATTTATTGTACTTGTGTAATTTTGAAAATTTATTCAAATTTATTTAAATTTTTATTAAATAATTTATTTTATTTTTAATGATTTACTTACAGAATTATACTAATTTATCTTAACAATTTGTGTAATTATTTGTTCAAATTATAGTTTTCCATTTCCCATAGTAATTTATCTTTAATAATTTGCAATATTTTCCAATGGTTTTCCAGAATCTATCGAATGTAATAAAATTTCCTAAAACTTTCAAAATATTCTAATAATTTTCAATAATTATTTAATGTATTTTAAATAAACTTTTAAATACTTTATATCTTTTAATTTCAAAAATGTTATTTTACAAAAATATAGTTTTATGAAAATTTTTAAAAAAATTTATTACATTTGTGTAATTACGAGAATTTATTGATTTTTTTTTAATTTGTTATTAAATATATATTTTTATTTGATAATTTATTGATAAAATTACACTAATTTATCTTTTATTATTCAATATAAATTAATTAATAATTTCATTTTCTACCATTCTTCCTTTTCGATTTTCGGATAGATGCCAATCCACGCACCACAATGGGGCGGAGCCCTTCCCATCCATGATTGTTAAACCGGCGACTGTTGTGGTTTTTGCTGGGATGTTCCTCGACCTTATCGACCGATGACCGGGCAGACCGAACCGATCACCAATCGTATCGTCATCGAACTCTGCCCGTAGTTCTACGGTTAGAGATCTGTCTGGAAACAGATTACGTGGGAACACCTAACCCTCTCTATCTCCATTATAGCCTTCTCTACTCTTCCCTCATCTTCTTCGAAGTCGAAAACCAGAACCAACCATTAGCGCTGAAGCATCCATCCCTTCTTTATCTTCCTCAGCTTCTTGCGTTAGGGTTAGGTTAGGGTTTATTAGTTCTTCTTTCAGAGCTTGATTTCTCTCTTAAACCTAAACCTAACTTCTTTGTTCGAATTCAATCTCTCTCTTTCTCTCTTTGCCAAAACCCTATTATAAATACCAAGTTAGACTATTTTGAGGAATCCTTGTCGACAATGGCGTCTGCGGCTCAAATTCACATTCTCGGTGGTTCTGCGTTTCCATCCCCTTCGACAAAGTCCGGTATTGGGAATGGAAGGTCTTCAAGAACTGTTTTCTTCGGACAGAGATTAAATGGCAGCGGCGCTTCGTTTGGGATTCCACGGTCGGCTCTCCTGAAACTTAAGAGAAATAGCAGGAGAGAATATGCAGTTGGTCCTGTTCGGGTTGTAAACGAGAAGGTTGTCGGTATTGACCTTGGGACGACGAACTCAGCAGTGGCGGCGATGGAAGGTGGGAAGCCGACAATTGTTACTAATGCTGAGGGTCAAAGAACGACGCCTTCGGTCGTTGCGTACACGAAGAACGGAGACCGACTTGTAGGGCAGATTGCGAAGAGGCAGGCAGTTGTGAATCCGGAGAACACCTTCTTCTCTGTGAAGAGGTTTATTGGAAGGAAGATGTCTGAGGTAGATGAGGAATCGAAGCAGGTTTCGTATCGAGTGGTGAGAGATGAGAACGGTAATGTCAAGCTTGAGTGCCCAGCCATCGGCAAACAGTTTGCTGCCGAGGAGATTTCGGCGCAGGTATCTCCCCTCTCACCTCTTCTCTTTCCTGTTACAGTAGCACTCTATTCCGCGCTATTCTTTCTGAATTCTGACCACTCTGTATATCTAATTCTTTTCCGTGTTTGAACTGCATTTATTATACTTCACACCTTATTTTTGCGTGCGTTTTCAATATATCTTTGGTTGTAGCATTATTTTGGAATTTTTTTCTTTCTCGCATTTTATTGACTTTAGTTACAAGAAAAATGATTTTTAGCTGTAGTTTTAAAAGTCCTAAAACTGCCGCTAAAAAACTTTACCGGCAATTAGCAAACTGCCGCTATAAATGATCACTAGCTGCTAAATGGTACGACCGAATGCCGCTATAAGTTTATAGTGGCAGCCACAATTTTTTCTAGTGACAGTCCCCCGCTATAAGTTTATTTTTTTACACCTACTAAAACATGGAATTTGTTATAAATAACCTATAATTTAATTGTAACTGGCTACAAATCTCAATTATTAAATAAACTTGTAATTTTATTCATCCAAATTAAAATTCAATACAAAATAACTTGTTTTGACAACCTTTGGAACTTTAATCATACAAGAAAGGAAAAAAAAAGAAAATTTATTCTGATTAGTCCATGTGCATAGTACACTACAGTCTTTGAACTCTCTTTCTTTTCTTGTCTTCTCACGTACATAGTAGTAGGTAGACAAAACCCTTGAGCTCTGGATGGTTTCTCAAAAAGCTAACAGAATCCTTTCCTTTGAAATATTCAACTCGGGTCTCCTGTAAAATAGCCCATCTAGATTCTAAATCCTTATGGTCCCTCACCTTATCAGCAAACAACTGAAACACGTCCTTTTTGGCACCTTACTTCTGCAACCTAGCAGAAATGGGTCACCATCCTTGTGTAGCTCTTTTTCTGGTATGAACTATCTAATTATAACATAAACAGTGAAAGACCCATTAACTACCTGCCAGCTATTTTAAGGCCTTGAATCCCAATCAATCTTGCATTCCAACATGAAAATTCCTCACCTAAAAGTAGGAGCCTAAACTAGTAGAGATGAGTTGAGATTTGCACATCTTGGCCTCTGGCCTCTGGCTCAATAACTGATAGTAGAACTTAGCTCAGTTCAGCTCATTCAAGTCAATACTTTGATACTAGGCGAAAATTATGGATTAGAAATATACAATCCCAAATGCAACATGAAAATGTTAACCTTAGCCTCAGGGTTTTTCTCTTTGAGAAATTTCTCTGCCCTTGTTATTGTACCCCCAGTCCCTATTCCAAAAACAAAGACATCAACCTTCCCAGTTGTGCCCTTCCAGATCTCAGGTCCAGTGCCCTTAGCTAGCTAATATGGTCCCACTTCAATGAAGGTAAAGAAAACTTGATTTTTGAGAGATACATGTAAAAGAATTAACTCCAAACCAGATTAACCACAGAAAGTTGACAATCATTGCCATGAAATGTGGTCAGGTTAGTCTGATCATGATTTGGCAGTGACAAAATTAGAAGCCTTGGTGCATCTCCCCACAATTCTGTAACGATCCCCTGCTACTCGCAACTACTGGACAAAAGGAATTAAAAGGAAAGGTTAAACAATTGTTTCTTTCTTATTTTGTAAAAGTCGAATGATCAAAACTACAATCCATTAACAAATTACAGATTTCTTATTCTTCAATAAATATTATGAGATCATAATCAGTTTCAACCGAGAGAGAGAGAGAGAGAGAGAGAGAGAGGCTTCTTGCTTAGGATGTGTGGATGATACTGTAACTAAGGATAAAAAGTTGAAGCTTTCATGTTAAGCATGTTTTTGAGGACGTCTTAAATGTAATAATTTATACATTTGAGGAAGTCTTGCTTAGCTTGTCCTAAAATCCGAGCAGCTACTTGTGGCTGGATCTCTTGTTGTACTGAGTTATTTTCTGATTCAACAAAATTCTTACTTTACCATTCAAGAAAAAAGTATACATTTATATTTTGTTGCCGGATGAGAAATTGAGAAAATGTTTCTGCAATAGTTTTCTGATCATTTTGCTCAAGAATGCGTTTAGCTTGTTTTGTTATTTTACATATCTGTAATAATTAGGAAGAAATTTGTTCTCCATCACTTCTCATCTGGACTGCTGAAAGTATTGCCTCAGTGTTTGTGTTGTAATCTTTCTTTTTGTGGTGAAAGTTTTCTTGGAGTTGCTGGTACCATCAACTGTTATCATACTTAAAAACTTACATGATTATCTACTTCTTCGTTTGCAGCATTTACTTGAGGTCCTTAGCACTGTTGCACATGTTTGTCATTTTCTCTCGGCTAAAAGAACTTAGCCTCTTTTTTTTCATCTGCAGGTATTAAGGAAACTTGTGGATGATGCATCCAAGTTTTTGAATGATAAAGTTACTAAGGCTGTAGTTACAGTACCTGCTTACTTCAATGATTCACAAAGGACAGCAACAAAAGATGCTGGTCGGATTGCTGGCTTAGAAGTTCTTCGTATCATCAATGAACCCACTGCTGCTTCACTGGCATATGGGTTTGAAAAGAAGAACAATGAAACCATTCTAGTATTTGACCTTGGAGGTGGAACATTTGATGTATCAGGTATTAAGACTATTCCAAAACACTCCATTTCCAATTTCTTTGTCATTTTAGTACGTAAAATTCGAGATTTTCTTTATATACACCCAGGTTTCAATTTATCTATAACCTTCCGCCTATGGAATGGTAGTTAAATTGAACCTTTTCTTTGACTTGGTAATGTGACATTAAAAATATTATACTGCTGTAACTATAATGTATATTTTTGCCATAAGTATCCCCATCTGACCTATGTTGGATACTCGTATCTTGAGACTCCATCAAATGCTTGTTCTGCAATTTCATGAAGTACCTGTAACCTCTGAATGTGGTAGGGAAAGACAAGTTAAGCTTTTCCGATCTTGACAAAGATAAAAAGGATCATATACCTTTATCTTTTTAATGTATTATTTACTCATTAAATCCTTATCTGTCCCTTGTCAGTTACTCAGATTCTGATACTTAGAAAACCTTTATGCTACAGTTCTGGAAATCACACCATTAGCATGTAATATGTATGACTGATTGATCATAAATGTATAACTTTTTCTTAATTGCAGTTCTCGAAGTTGGAGATGGAGTGTTTGAGGTGTTGTCTACATCAGGAGATACACATTTGGGTGGAGATGACTTTGACAAGGTTGAGCTTATGTTATTTTTATTATTCAAATTGCAACCAATGTGGTTGTGTTTGATTTCTGATCTATTGGTTACTGAACCTGTCTGCTGTTGGTAAACACAAACAGAGAATTGTTGATTGGCTTGCTGAGAACTTCAAGAGAGATGAAGGCATAGATCTTCTGAAGGACAAACAGGCTCTTCAGCGTCTTACTGAGACAGCTGAGAAAGCCAAGATGGAACTTTCATCTTTGACTCAGACAAATCTAAGGTGTGAAATGCATTCAGACAAATCAATGTCTATTTACACATGTTATGTGTAACTGTGAAATTCGTTTTTGCCTTTTCCAGTTTACCTTTCATTACTGCAACTGCCGATGGTCCGAAACATATTGAGACCACCCTTACAAGGGCCAAGTTTGAGGAGTTGTGTTCAGACCTGCTTGATAGGTATGCACTTCACCATTTACCAAATATTAATTATTATATGTCG